TTCATAATAAACGTCTATTGTTACATATTCATATTTAAAATCAACTGTTTCATATTGTTTATTTGTTGTTACATATGTTAAACGAACTGGTAGTATTTGTACTTTGATATCTTCTGTCAAAGTACATAACCTGTTTAAAATATGGAAAAATGTTGGTTTAAAATATGAAACAATTGGCATATAAAATGGAACAACATATATATACCTGATGTTTCATTGTTATTTATGCTGTTTCACATTATATGTCATTTGTTTCATTACATATTACTGTTGTTTCATATAGTACATTATATATAATTTATAGTCCATTATCCAAATAATAATACGAACAAAACATTTGATATCACATGTACGTTGTTTCATTTTATATGCATGCTGTATAGTAAATCTGATGTTTCATATTGGACGCCTGCTATTTCATGTAATAAATCTTTTATCTCATTAATTGTTGTTTCATTTTGAATATATGTTGTTACATATTTAACAGATGGTGTTTCATTTTATTGTGAAACAGAACATACATTTGAAATCACATTTATTATAAAATGAAACACCATCTGTTAAATATGTAACAACATATATTCAAAATATGTGATATCAAATGTATGTTCTGTTTCACAATATATTTAAGATGTATGTTGTTTCATTTTATATGCCTGTTGTTTCAAAATTTAAACCAACAGTTTTCCATACTGGCTCAAACAGGTTATGTACTTTGATAGTCTGAAGCGTGGCACAGCTCAACCACGAAGGACAATACCCCTAATATCCGTTTGGAACAAGCAGATGATACAAGAACGAATGAAGGTCGAGATGAAGAGAGGATTTGGACAAGGTAAAGTCCTCGACAGGTTAACTGCTATAAACAAGAATTCTGGTGAAGAAAATCAAGGGCCTTCGTCGTCCTCTGCTCCCGAAGATGTTAAGGTAAAAAAAAAAACAGAAAAACATAACAATTAATATACCTAATGTTTCATTGTTTCATATCAAATATTATTTGTTTCATTACATATTATTGTTGGTTCAAAATAATGTATATGATTTAGATGTATGTTGGTTCATTTTATATGCCTATCGTTTCATTTTATATACCTATTGCTTCATACATTTTGGGTGTTTAATGTTTTGTCTACGCTGTTTCATATAATAAATCTGATGTTTCATATTGGCCACATGCTATTGTTTAATTGTTTATAATACTGGAATTTGAAACGTTGTTGGTTTGTTATAGGGATTTATACTTGATGAATTCAACAACATTTCCAAGGAACTTGCTGGCCATGTCCAGTCAATGTAGTCAATGTATGCACTGATTGACAAGGCATACAAATTGATTGAGGAGGTGGAGATCCCAGATGAGATGAAGGAGCTCATAAGAAATGTATGGGGCAAGTACACATCAGTACAACCCACCATGAGTTCCCAAGGAATCAAGACCCCGGGTTTTCTATCTCAAGATGAGAACTTATTTCATGAGCCAGCGTTTTTATCTGAGCTCAGTGATGTGATGAACAAAGCATGGGCAAATTTTCAGGCCCCACTAAATGAACAACAAGATGAACCCCCCCCCCCCCGATAATGTTGTACCCCCACAAGCTACACCCCACAATGAATCCGTTCATGACATTGTTCCATTATCTGAATTCCAGTCAAACTATAATCTGTTTGTAGGTTCACAGGCGTTGCCTCCAACACCCTCAGCAAAAGGAAAGTCACCAGAGCAGGAAAAATCTCCAACGGAGCAGCACTTGGAGTCACTCACTGAATTCATCGTTCATAAGATAACAATGGAACATTGTGAGGAGCCAGTGACTGGTATGCAAAGAGAAAAAAGAATCACACAAAATCTTCCTGTGCACCTTCGATCCCCATTCATGGTGCAGAATGAAAAAATTTCAGCAAAAATTGATGCCCTACAAAGAACAGCCACCGAATATGCCTTTTATGTAGGCCCAAAATCGTGAGAATTTTCTGGAATGCTTTGTATCATATTATATACATATTGTTTCATAGTATATACAATATTATATTGTTTCATATTATATATATATATATTGTTTCATTAAATTGTTTTGCTGTCCCATCAATTTCAGTGAGCAGCTGTACAATGACGGGCTTAACTTCATCAGTAGGGAAGACATTTTAGGACTACAAGGTGACAACTATGTGGTCAACAATATAATAGACTCCTGGGGCCACATCCTTAACATGGCAAACAAAAGAAGGCAACCAGGCGCTATCAACCGTTTTTTCTGCTCCTCTGAATGTTGGGTAATTATGTCTAAAATTATTTTACAGTTTCACTTTTAAGCTCTAATATTTCATTTATCATATAATTTGTTTCATTAACATATTGTTCCATTTTTTCATTACTTATGTTTCATATTAAATAAAATATGTTTCATTGTACATACAATATGTTTCATTGTATACAGTGCCAATGTTTCACTATATAGTGCCAATGTTTCATACATCTGATGTTTCATTTTTCATTTACGCTGTTTCATATTATATATCAATTGTTTCATTGTATGCAGTGCCAATGTTTGACTATATAGTGCCAATGTTTCATACATTTGATGTTTCATTTTTCATTTACGCTGTTTCATATTATATATCAATTGTTTCATTGTATATAGTGCCAATGTTTCACTATATAGTGCCAATGTTCCGCTATATAGTGCCAATGTTTCATTTTTAATATATTATGCTCCGTATAAAATACTTCAGTTTATAATATTGATACATTATAATATTTCTGATACACTAACAACTTTAACAATGATTAATTACTTGGAAACAAACAGAATATGCTGTGCGGTAACAAGTACTTTACGCCAAATACCAAGTTTGCAGAGAGGTACAATTGTTTCAAGAGCAGGATGGTGGACGAGATGAATCATTCTAAAATAACTTCTTTTGACAAAGTAGATTTGGTTAGATACTAAACTAGTACTGATTCTTAGCATATATATTTGCTTAAAAAGACATACTTAATGTTACATATAACTTACTTATTGTTTCATTATAGGTTTTCTTTCTCGTCCCTGCATTTGAACACTATTATCTGTTCTGTTTCAATTTTTCACGCAAGCAACTGCAAATTATAGACAACAGATTTCTAGAAGAAGGTGTTGAAATGGATGCAAAGTACGACAATTTCCCAACTACCATGGTAAAAATATAACACTGTTTCACTAAACATCACTGGTATTCCATTTTTTATTTTTTGATGTTTTAATTAGTATATCTGGTGTTTCATTGTTGATTTCTGATGTTTCTGATTATATAGAATTTGTTTCAATATATATATATATATATATATATATATATATATATATATATATATATATATGTATGGTTTCAAATAATACATTTGACGTTCCATTTTTTCATTACTGCTGATTCATATTAAATTAAATAGGTTTCATTGTACATAGAATATGTTATTTCATATTCATACATCTGATGTTTCATTTTTCATTTACGCTGTTTCATATTATATATCAATTGTTTCATTGTATATATTTGTTGTTTCTTATTATATAGAATTTGTTTCAATATATGTATATATGGTTTCAAATAATACATTTGATATGTTTCATTGTACATATAATATGTTATTTCATATTCATACATCTGATGTTTCATTTAGTCTGTTTCATATTATATATCAATTGTTTCATTGTATATATTTGTTGTGCCATTGTTCCTTGGTACATCTAATTGTTTCATATTACACAGATCAAGGCATTTGCTAAATTTCTAAATGAAAAGAAAGTTAGAAATGGACGGGGAGTGTCTAGATTCAATACCACTATGAAGGAAATGAGATGGAAGAATAATGACAATTATAATGACTGCGGTGTATACGCTCTCAACCGCATGGAAACTTACATGGGGAAGCTAGATGAATGTTGGGATATTGGATTCGACCCAAAAGATGTAAGTTTTTGTGTAATTCTTATATTAATTTATACATAATTTATGGTTCATTGTTCCGGTATTTATTTTGAATTGTTAATATATTTCAGCCTGATATAATGAAGAAGCTGAGGATTGAGTATTGTGGGAAAATATTGACAAGCCCTGCAAACGTACTACAAGATGAAGTTATAGCCAAATCAAAGACCTGGGCATTAGAGCAGCTTCGTCATGTTAATCAGTAAACAATGTTTATGAATGTTTCCACATTAGTTGTAAGATACATAATTTTTATGCATGTTCTGGATAATTTAGCTAAACATCTTTTTATGTTTCGTCTGATGATTTTCTATTAATATCTGAACATTTCCTTCTTCGTATGTAAAGATGTGCATACATTATTGTCAATTGTGAACTATTAATATGAAACATTAGAAGTATTAAATGAAACTTTAAATATATAAAATGAAACAACAGTTAGGTAATATGAAACAATGTCATTATAGGTTTAGCTAAACATGTTCTGGATCATTTTCCCATAATTAGAATTATTAAATGAAACTATAAATAGATAAAATGAAAAAACGGTAAGGTAATATGAAACAATATGAAACAATGTCACAACATGCATTGTCAACGGTAAGAAATAAATTTAAACCATGCACTGTTACAACTGAACACGTTTCCACATGAAACTGACAAGTGTAAGGTTGCTTTTAAACTTTACAATAAATATGTTCCCAAAGCAACAATACCACACCAGTACTTTTAAAAAAAGATGACTAGTCAAATCAATACACGCTGCCACATAAAATGAATTTGCACACTTTCTGAAAAATATTATAAAAACATGCTAAAATGAATCTTAATGTTTCAGGTAATGTTCCTACTGTTCCCATAAATGAAACAATTGTTACATATATTAGAACTAGTGTTTCTTAGCACTGATGCTTCTCAAAACTGATATAACATATATTAAAACTGATGTTTCTCAAATGTAACTAATTGTTCCATTACAACAAACATAAAAATGAGTAAAACATTCCCATAAGAAGGAACAACAGCTGCACAAATCATCATGCTTTGTGAGGACAATTCCGAATATCATGATATGCTAGCTCGCCACAGCCACTGCATTTCCTCTTCGTTTTCTTTTTAGATTGTTCAACCGCTATTTCTTTGGCACCCTTTAATCTTTTAGACCCACTAGTTCTAGAGCCATCGTGAACACCTGTACCTTTATTCTTTGACACTTTAGGAGGTTGAACAAGTATTTCATCAGGAATGCTACATCCTATTAACATCTCAATATCATGTTCACTAGATCTTACATTTTGAGTATCTTCCAAAGTAACATTTTTTGTCGCTTCAATTTTATTCTTGAACTCTCGAATATTCTTAATAAAGTCCTCCTCATGACCTTTAACCCAACTCACACAAGAAAATATCTCCGACCACATTTCATTTATAACCACCCGCCTATCATCTTCGGTGTCTAAACAACTTATATCTAACATTGGTTTCTGAGTAGAAATTATTGTCCAACGATCTAAGATATATTGCTTTGGAATGCTTTTTAAATTCTTTGCCTTCCACATCCATATCATATGTCTGCATGGGATTCCTATCCTATAAAACTTCTTACAAGAGCAGGTAGTGTCATGACTAAAGCACTCAAACAAAACTTTAAATTTCCTTCTCCTATTTGCCTCAGTAACAATTTCTACATCAATACCATCTTCCTTCCTCAATTCATCTACACCACAACAATAAAAAGAACTATGAACTTCATCTTGAAATTCATAAAATACAGAAACGGTGTACACCTCAGAACCATGCCTCTCAATCAACAATTCTGTCTTACATTGAGGGAATTTCTCCTGTGATTCATTGTCATTCTCTGCCTGACAATGTCTCTGTGCATCCAACGCAGTTTCATACCTCATGAAAAACTCCACAAGAGACACGTGAGGATTTACAACGGATGTAAAAAAATTATTCTCACTCTCTGACCTTGAGGTAGTTCTCATAATACCACCCATAAAGACATCTCTAAAATACGCTGGAATCCACATAGATCTCATCTCAAACATCAAATTCAACCAATCATGGTCTTGTAATTTAAACTCAACAAGAACATTGTTCCATTTCTCTTCAAATTCAGGTGCCTCAATTTCTAAATTCCAAACACACTTACTGAGTTCCTTCAAAAATTCAGTATCCTGAATGATATTCCTTCCAACTTTATCAGGCAGCTTTTTCATTATGTGCCACATACAAAATCTGAAGGACATTAATTATGGGACATTAGACAACTATTTAGAAACATTAGCTTTTAAAACTGTAACATTATAGTAAAATTCCGGAACATCATCTTGAAGATTTGAAATAATAAAATAAATAATTGGAATAACTAGGCGAATTCTCGTAACAATTGATTAACCTAATGGAACGTCAAAACATAAATTTGAAACAATAATACACTATATAGGAACAATGTTTTTTTAAAAAAAAAAATTCAGAATAATAATATTTAACATCATCACAACAGCTGGAAACATCAATCAACTAATATGAAACATCAGACACGTATTTTGAAACAATAGTATTCACAAATGAATCATTATGTGCCACTTACAAAATCTGAAGGACATTAATTATGGGACATTAGACCACTATTTAGGAACATTAGCTTTTAATACTGTAACATTGTAGTAAAATTCCGGAACATTATCTTGAAGATTTGAAATAATAAAATAAATAATTGGAATAATTAGGCAAATTCTCGTAACAATTGATTAACCTAATGGAACATCATAACATAAATTTGAAACAATAAAACACTATTTAGGAACAAGAATTTTTTTTTTTTTTTTCAAATTCAGAATAATAATATTTAACATCATAACAACAGCTGGAAACATCAATAAACTAATATGAAACATCAAACACATATTTTGAAACAATAGTATTCACAAATGAATCATTCTAGTTACAGTACAATAAAATAAATATATGTGCTCACATTGCTGGAAAACAGAATTTACAGCAATTTTCATAGCTGGATCTTGATCCGTAATTAAACAATTGGGCTCCCTACCGCCCATTGCCTTAACAAATGTTCTAAATAGTCATTGGAATGAAGCAACATCTTCCTTTGCAATAAAACCAGCAACAAAAGTGACACATTTCTTGTGGTGATCGACTCCCGTGAATGGACCAAACACCATATTATATCTGGAAAACATGAAACATACGCTGAAATTACGATTCCGATATTTATGTCTACTGTTTCGTAATATTATTCCAATGTTCCGAAAATTAAAACAAATGTTACATCAAATTGTAACACCAAAAAAAAAAAATTCAAAAAACTTTAAAAATAACACTATGATACATGTTGCTTTGGTAGGTTGTATCAAACGAGAGCATATCACCAAATACGGCATAATTTCTCCGGCAAATAGGATCTGCCCATAAAGCTCTACATAGACAGTCGTCTTCATCCATTTCGTAATAAAAAAAATAAGCCGACCACATCAACTTTTTCCTCTTAAAATTATCAACAAACATCTGGGCGTCCGATCCTTCAATATACGCCTTCAAATCTCTATGAAAATTTTTGAAGTCATTCCTACTAGCACCTATATTCTCATACCCACCAACATATTCCTTCACCATTCTGTATGTCTTGACAGGACCAATATTCACCTGTGGAGACAGAATGTAAAAAGACTAGACTGTTTGAGGACCATGCTATATATGGAAACAGATCTAACAGTGCATATTTAATTTTATGAAAAAAAGGCAAAAAAGATTTCAAAGATTCTAAATATAGATGTGAACAAAAAACAAAAAGGCACACATTTAATTACAAATAACGGTACACGTTATTCTTGATGGATAGTGCGAAATTCGATGATGAAATATTATATGAAACAAAAATGCACTTTATTGTTCCATATATCTGACCTAATGTTCCTCCGCATTACCCTATTGTTACATTTGTTATAATAACTGTTAATATTAAACCTTTACAACCAATTGCTCCAACTATGTTTCAATTATACGTTATATTGTTCCATTTATCAAAACCATTGTTCCATACAATTGTACTTACACCTACTTGAGTACATACATTACAAACAATTGTTCCATCAAAAACAATATATATTTCATATTACAGTACTAATGTTTCATATATGTACACAATTGTTACTTCACATTTAAAATTTAATAATTTAAACAAAACCATATTCAAATACGATTGTTCCATCCAAAACAATATATATTTCATATTACAGTACTAATGTTTCATATATGTACACAATTGTTACTTCACATTTAAAATTTAATCATTTTAAACAAAACCATATTCAAATACCTTTGAATTATCAATTATCATTTTCTTATGAAACATTGTCAGCTTTCTTTTGGACTTCTGAAAATGAGAGTTCTCGGATGAATACATATGATGAGTATGCCCTTCTACAAAATTAGAAACAATGTAACCTCTATCTTCGCAATACTTTAAAATCATCTTTTCCTTACAACCAACTCGAGTAGACAATCTTCTTTTAACCATAGGAGTATTCGCTTATTGACAATCATAGTCTTCTTTATCTTGACCAACAACCACTTCTTCAACATTCATATCATCTACAAAATTATCATCTTCTTCCCCGATACTATCAACTTTCTCTGTCACCACATTATTTCGTTTTTCTTTAAACCCAGCTTTATTACATACAATAATTTGAAAAGAAATAATACCATTTTTTCTTTTTTTGACCGTCGACTTTCTAGTAATAAATCCTACAACAGCTGCGTAGGACTCATAAAAACGCAAACCTTCATCAAGTTTTGAAAATTTCATACCTATAGTTGGTCTAATTTCACTATCACAACATGGAATCCATATCTTCGTTCCACCAGGGGTACAAGCATGAAGAACATTAGACGTACCACATTCAACAGACAAATCCATGCTTAATATAACTACAGAAAAAAAAAAAAATTTGAGCTCTAACCTTTGATAATGTATTCCAATGGCTGAATGTATTCCAATAGCTGAGATAACGTCTTCCAATGACATACCCGGAATGTATTCCAATGGAATACAACGTCTTCCAATGCACAAAAAAAAAAAAAAATTACAAACAATCATTACCTTTTCAAGTTGGCCCACGTGAATTCCCACTATAGTTACCAATAAATCTGAACCATTCATCTAATAAAAATGAATGGTCTTAGATTGGTTCTCACCTAAGCCATGGGTTCTCACATGATCCCATTTCTATATATATATATATATATATATATATATATATATATATATGAAAGTACTCTTACCAATGAATATATTCTTCTATTTCATCATTGTACAAATGATTGATTGAAAAATTAAGAAAAAATATTATTTAAACGACTTATAGAAATGATGCCAATGTCTTATTGGTTGCTATAAAAAAACTATTAATTAAAAAAGAAAAAAAAACTTTATCACTTAAAAAAAAATGATAGTACTAGGATAAGAATGACAAAATTTTAAATGAAGCTTATACTAATCTATTACAAAGCGTTTCTAGGAAGGTTTATGTGCCACGTATACCCTTATTACGCCAATGTCATCCACTTAACTTTTATTACGCCTCCATTCATCATCTCATGGACTTATAATATTATAAAAAAAATTCTCGTTAAGATTTGAACATGCTATCTCTTTAATTCTAAAATTACGTGTTTTACCACTAATCCATGTGATATTTTATATTATCTTTGGAATACAATATGTAGCGAATGATTGTATGAATAACAAATTTAATTACATGAAAATTGAGTCATAAATTAAAACGTATATTAATGATCAACCCATGTAATGACTTAGGGCATCACCTGGGCCCAAATACTAGTTACTCCCTCCGTCCCATAATACTTGGAACGTTGGGGTGAATACGTAGTTTAAGAAAATTACAAGTGGATCCATTTAAAACATTTGTTTATTATATAAAGGATTCAGTTTTGTATTTTTATATTGTAAGAAAACAAAAAGTGGGGAGGTGGGGTAGTGAGGAGAGAGAAAATGTAGGATTTAATTGGGTTTTTGGGTTTGTGGTCCCGAAGAGCGTATAAAAAAATACTTTTTTATTAGTGATCCCATTCCATATTTAGTAACGTGTCAAGTATTTTGAGACGGATGAAAAAATTAAAAATGGTGTCAAGTATTATGGAACTGAGGGATTATATGTTAAAAACTTGTTACTCGTATTAATGAAGTTCGTAGCCATTCCATTACAACTAATATCTATCTATAATATTATTAAAACTTATAGAGATAACATGCTAACGACATGTGTCACCCATTCTTTAATATGATTTGGTACCATGATTGAGGAACCTTTAATTGAATTAACATAGGAAAAAAGTTAGGCAATAATAAAACTACAATACTATAAAACCTTAACACAATGCTGAAAGCTCAGTTAAAAAATGCAAGCAACGATTTCGTGCAATAGAAGAAAAAAGGTGTTGGTGTCCCTCTAAATTGAGTTTTACATTTAATTTTTAATATGTACTTTTTTAATGTATATGCTTGACAAAATTGAATAAATACTAGATTAAATAACTTAAAATTTATGGATGCATCGCGTGCATATGGGGCTATTTGCTTATATGTTAATGGTCAAACCATCAATTAATTGTGTGGCAGACAACAAATATATAAGAATTTGTGTATCTATTATGCAAGTAATTTTTAGTATAATGTTTTGTACATGTGTCACCCTTACCTTAATATATTTTAGTGCCACATGAGCATTTATGTACATGTGTTTTAGTATATCACAATATCATATAAGAACTAGTGTTTGATTCGGGCTTTGCTTTGAGGACCACTTTGAGTAATATTTTTATTTTTATTGTTGTTATTAAAACAATGACAACAATAGATTATTTTACATATTTTTTTGCTTTTATATTCAATGAGGTTTGGTGTTCAAACCTCTTTGTATCCATTTTAGTTAATGATGACATGAGATAAACTTTGTTGATTAGTGATGTGGTGTTATGCTAGTATAAGAAGGACACACGTGGCACATATAATTTTTTTGGAACGCCTTTTAATATAAATAATAATAATAATAAATATATAAATAAATAAATTAGTATTTGGGCATGGACAATGCCCATGTCATTACATGGGGACATGGGGTTGGTTTTTAAAATATGTTTTAGTTTGACTCATTTTCCTATAATTAAGCCAATT